AGTGGGAGAAATCCAATAAATAAATTAAATAAATAAATAAATAAATTACAGATGCTGGTTCAACTGCAGAAGAAGCCAATTGTCTTGGCATTTCATTGAAAATTTGATGGAACCCCATGGTTTGACGGGCCCCTTGCCAGATCCAAGATCTTTTTAACGTTTGAACCTTGCCTCCTCATCTTACAACGTCCATTCTTTCTAAAAGAATGCTGTTGATTCCCATCTGGACCATCCCTTGCTGAGTTCTGCTCCCTACGTGCAAGTAGCAAACACTGTTTGGAACACACCTTCGGAGCTGAGAAAGGAAACCACAATACCACTTTGACCTCTTATTCCAAGCAAAGCGGTAGGCACCACCTACCACGTTGCCAGCAAAAGGCCGTAACGTTTGACTTGCTTAGTGATATGTCCACTTCACCAGGGGGGTGGACGGAATAGGTAGCAACCGTAGTCCTACAAGCTCAGAAGCACCTCTGATCAGAGCAAGGTTCCTTGCCCTAAATACCCCTTCCTTCTCTGCTGGTTCTTAGGTCATCTTTTTTGACGACCTTTTTTGATTTTTCATTCAAGTCCAGAGACAATCAGCTGGCAAGGACACGAAACCTCCAATGTATTAATTATTAGATTTAGGCTTCTCCAGTCTGTATGACTCTGGGCAACTTACAAAATGCAGCAATAGAACACAATAAAAATACAGAATATGTATGTGTGTATGTATGTATATGTATGTATGTGTGTGTGTATATGTATATGTATATAAGCATATTGATGATATTGATACATTGATAAGTAATAATATGTTTAGTAATATGCTATTAAATTATATATGTATTAATGGCCAATGCAAAGTTGGTTTGAATTATTTTTCATTGATTGTGATTGGGCTAGAAACCAGGAGGCCCGGAGTTCAAGTCCTGCCTTATGCACGAGGCCAGCTGGGTGACTGTGGGCCAGCCCCTCGCTCTCAGCCCTAGGAAGAAGGAGGCAAGGGCAAACTACTGAAAATATTGCCAATAAAACTGCAGGAACTTGTCAATGGGTTCTCCAGGAGTCAAGACTGATTCGAAGGCTACTTACGTTATTATTCATCTCCCTTTCCTCCATTTTCAGCGTGTGCCTGGGTCAGTTATCAATAGCTTGCTTGTTTGCTTACTATAGATACCCCTCCCTTTAGTAACGTTTAGTGGGGTAGAAAAGCTGTCAGAGGAAACCCATCAGGGAAGGAGTTTAGCTTGGTCATCCCTCGCCCTAAACAGTGTGTTTCAACAAGACATCCAGACTTAACCTGACATCACCTTTGCAGGTGGTGGTATGCAAGGAGGACTAAATACCGAATCCATTAAAATGGGCCAGTCAGCTTGCACATCTCTGGCACGTCCTCCCGCTTAAACACGTACCTTTCCCACTCTTGTATGGCATGCTTACGGGGGTACAAGGAATGAAGGGGAAATTACTACTCCTTTCAAGGTTTTCTTAGCAAATGTCAGTACCGAAAGCTGGAGCAGGCATTCATGGAGGAACATCTTGGATAAGTAAGTTTTATTGTAAGAAAAGTGAACAAAGCTATTGTGAAAGAATTCCAGGGACTGCTATATACCAAATGCAAGCCCTATTTATAATGAAATTAAGGTTCTAATTTTTGTTCCTTTTTCTCTGGCCTGGACAGTGCAGCAGGCTCAGTTTCTTGGGGGAGGAGCAGGGGGAATTATTTCTACCTGATCCTTATTGCAGTATCAGACAAATCTGGTTTCAGGTTCAAATGGGCCAGCCCTACCATTAGGCAAACGGATGACTTTGTCTCAGGTGGTAGATTCAAGGAGGGGGCAACAAAGTGCTGAAGAAAAGAGTGTGCCCTGCACCCGGCCCTCTGTCCCCCAACTTAGCCGGCCGCTTTCAAGAGTGCTGGAGATCCTATGCCAGTATGTCTTCTAAAGAAAATGTCAGTTGATGGTCCAGCTTTTGTACCTGGAATGAGGTAGGGGGAGACTTTATTTTCCTTTGGTTCAAGCAGTGTTAACCCCACTAAGTAGGAAAACAACTGGTCTGATCAACCATTTTTATCGAAATTGGCTATAATAAGAGAATCAAGCACATCGGATTGTGCTGTACCTCCTCCCTCCTTCTTATATTCCAGTGAATCAGAGAGGTGTCTGCCTGAGTCTCTTCCAAACCTTATCTGGACATTCTGGACTTAAAAAATGTTTCAGTCCCTTTTGCCTAGATAATTCAGACCCGTCTGCCTTTGTCCTGCCTGTCTGCGTCAAGGTCATTTTCCTTACTCTCTGTAGGTAGTAAACGTCTCTGGTCAGCCCTACGGATCAACCAGCAAAGCCATCTGAGACCATTCTGCTGGGGTTAAGATGCTTCCAGGAGCCGTCTTCCACACCCCGTTTTTGGAAGCAGGGTGACGGTCCCCATCTCTGCCATTAATCTGTGGTTGCAGGGTCAATCCATGCCACCCCATTCTCAGCTTGCTTCTTAGAAAACCCTCTCAAAGTTCATTTGAGATTGTGAAATCCAGACTCCAAAACAGAGTGCAGAAAATAGGCCCTTCGGAACAGAGCTTCCTTCCTATGGCCCACTGCTGAGAGGCGTGTTATGATTGCACAAAAAAAAAAGTGGGGGGAGAGGGAGGAGTAAATAACAACCCAATCTTGCTGAAGAAGGATATTCTCACCAAACATTTTCAAGGGGAAATATTTAGCTCGGGAGCAGAAGACGCCTGCAAAAAAATGCCACTTCCATCTTTAGCTTCGAAAGGATGTCAGTAATAACTTTTCACAGCGTAACTGATGCTCCACTTCAGCAGCATTTAAGTTTAATAAATTATTATTATTAATTATTATTAGCTAGGTACAGTAGCCATGGGCTTATAACAGGAGCAAAAGCTACTTGCGTGTAACCAGGAAAAATCAGAGGTTCAACAAAGCCCACGTGTTTGGGCGATCAATAGAACTGCGGTGGAAGACTTTGTGTAATTGTTTTAGTCCATTTTTCTGTCTGTGAACCTGCACAGACAAACACCTTGTGCATTTTTCAAACATACGGCCTACCAATCTGTTCAGAAGGTAGGGATCAGCATAGCCGGTTCATCATCTGAATGCTTCACCCGTTTTCCAGTCAATGCCACCGCTCCATTTTATCAAAGAATCCAATCTGGTCAATCTCGTAACTCTTTTTTTTTTTTCCTAATTAATTTCACAATGCCCTAAAAATTCCAGCTTGATTTTCCCTGTTTGTACAAGTAGCCCACACATTCCTCTGCGGTGCCCACAAGTAAAATGAAATGCTTGGAAACGCATTGCATTTGGCAGCACGTAGAAGCTTTGATTCATCATCAAAGGAATGGAAGGGGGATTGTGCCAGAACAGGTTGGGTGTGTGTGATGTGTGTTATGAAAGTAAGGCAATCGAAACACTGATGAGACAGGACACTACGGTAGCGTTCTTACACTTATACCTTGCTTTCTAATCTCAAAAAGTCCATTATTTCTGAAACTATATTTACCCGTCATTACCTTCACAGCAAGGGGTATGATCTTGAAAGGACTTACAGGTTTTGATTCGAAGAGTCTGAAGCTGAAATGCAGAGATAGGTCATGCCCTGAAATTAAAGAGAGAAAGTTTACGGAGACTCCGTGACTTGGATAAACAGTGACACGACAAGGCTTTATAGATTTAAACAAATGAAGAAGCACCATGATGGTTGTGGTACTCAACAAAAGCTCTTGCTGCGGCCTAAGTTTTGACACAAAGCTTTGACTAATTTAAGGGGGGCAACCTGCATCTCATGTGGTCTCAGCATACTTTTAAAGAAAGTTTTGACAGCCATCCATTCAGAAATTCTAGCAGCCTTGCTGAAGGAGGAGAAAGAGAAAGAGAAAGGGGAAGATCAAGCTTCAGAAAGAGACAGAATGGTCATGTTACACAATTTTGACTCTGGCTCTATCTGCTGTTTCTTTGGGCTCCAGCCACCACAAGTCACACTGTTCAGGCTGTTGACTGAAGTAAAAATGGTCTGTTCAAATGACCATCATATTAAGGCCCTTCCTTTTGGGAGCTCCTATTATACAAGTATAATTTTGGGAAAATAGGACAAGGGCCTCTGTGGGAATCAAGGTTGTGGGGAAGGAGAGAAGAGATGCCCTCAACTTTTTCCCCTTGTTGGGTTCTACTTCAACAAAATACTTGCTAGCTTTCATTTTGCCCTCTGGGTTAGTTGCAACTCCAAGAAAGGGAAATGCAACATTCTTCCAGAATTTGCCCTACAGAACAGCTCCATCCAGGCTGGGGGTAAGGATGACTGTGGGACTGGATTAACTCATTTTCTGAATTGGCATATTGAACTACGAACTGACCAGACCACAAGCTCGGCATGCTGACACCAAGGAAAGGAACTTTGCCATGATTAACCCTGACCAAGCTTGATTCTTTGGTACAAATTTAGCTACTCTGGTTTTACCTGAGCTGCGTAAGTGTGCTATGTGATCACAGCCACACCATTTGCTGAGGAAGATAGAAGCTGTAGTCTAACTCAGCTGGGTTGGGAAAAACTGAGACAGAAGACCATAACTCTAGCTTACATCTACAATTTATGTATTAGTCATTAAATGTATATGCTGCATTTCCTTCAAGAGCTGAAGGCCATGTATGTAGCTCTCCTTCCTCCCATTTTCCTCGTAGCAACAGCCCTGTGAAGTAGGTTGGGCATAAGGAGAGGAACTGGCCTGAGTCACCCCATGTGCTTCCACACTGGGAAGGAAGACCTGAACATGGGTTTCTCGGGGCCTAGCCCAAAACTTTAACCCATAACTGGCTGTCGCAATACTGTAAACCAAAATATGGTTGTGTATCTGTTGCTTAATAACTTGGATGGATCCAGCTATCACAGCCTGTAAACCTAAGTCTAACTGCTCGGTGTGCTGTGTGAACTTAGCCAATTATGGATCACTCAGTAAGCAAACTACGGCTTAGTTGGTTGCATGAAGACACCCAACCTGTAAGTGAGGAATGGATTTGAGATGCTTTGGTCACCACCTTTGACCCCTTTCATAACTGGCCACCCCAGACAACTACTGGACTCGAGAGAGATAAGGAGCACCATGAGAAAGGAAAATCAGAGGAGATCTGAAATGTCCTTGGCTAAACCAATTGTGGTTTTTCTGCTCTCCATTCAATGCAGCCTGCGATGAGACAAGAGGGAGACAGGAAGAACAGAAAGAGGGTAAGAGAGATAAAATCTCTTCCAGATGGAGTCCAGCTTCCGGAGATTCCATAAACAGATCCGTGTTGTCCTCTGGACAACAGAACAGAAACGGTTTGCCATTCCCTTCTTCCAGGCAGCCCTACATCTTTGGCACTTCCTGGCCTCTCCCATCCAAATCTAACCAGGTTCAACCCTCTTTGGGTTCCCAGTCCAGAAGGTGAGCCTGGTGTAGCCACCAAGGCATTATAGAAGAGGACCCAGGAGGGACACATGGCTTTCTCAGAAGAGGATACAGCTTCAGGACAGAGTCTGGCCTTTGCACGGAGAAGTGTCCAGCTTCAAACCCAGCATTTCATCTCAAGCTGAGCGGTTTGGGGAGGAGAGGTGAGAGACTGAACAGCTGCTGCTAAGCCAGGGTAGACAGTGCAGGGCTACAGCAATAAACATGATGGCTGTAAAGTAGTTTCCTCTCTTCAGAAGGAAAACAAGAGAGGAGTCGTTTTACTTAAAACATGAAAATGCAAATCCAAGGGGGTTTGGTGGAGTATGTTGCAACTTACGCACAACAGCAAAATCATCCAGGCGGTTGCTAACCTCCTCTCCCTCGCCACCCACCCGCCTTCCAAAGCAGGAGGAGGAGGAGGAGGAGGCGGCGGCAGCGGGGGGGGAGCAGCAGCCCTCCTTTGGCCCCACCAGACCTAAGCCCAATGCCTGGGAACCACAGCTTGTCTCGGCACTTCTTTTGCTGTGCTCTGGGATTGCCATATTACTCAATACGTTCATGTGTTTCCGGTTCCTCTTGTTCTTTTCCACTCCTCTGCCTTCCTCGCTCCATCCTGTTGTAAGACTTGTGGATCTGCCATCTGCCTGCTTAAATCTGTGAAGAACCGTCCTTGCAGCTGCTGCTCTTCTCCCATCTTCACCCAACCCATAAACACATTCCCTTCTTCCTCCAAACTTAGGCAGTAGCTCTGATGAAAAGAATAGGCTTCATGAGGATCTTTCTCTCTCTCTCTCTCTCTCTCTCTCTCTTTCTCTATCATCCATCCATCCATCCATCCATCTAACTGGGAAGCAAGAGCTTCCCACAGAAGCATAGGAAAACATGTTTTGCTTTCATTCATTCATTCATTCATTCAGGGCTCCTCCCTGTGTGGGGTTTGCGCTCAGCTGGAATTTGCATCGCTCCAATATTCCTGCGATGTTCTTGGGCTTCTGCAGCCCTTTTGCAGCTGGACCAACTAATCTTCAGCTTAACCCAGCAGGGCCCTCTGGGAAAAGAGCTCTGCAGTGTTGGCTCCTAGAATTGCAAGACCAGCAGTTTCCCTTCAGGGAGCGTTCTTGCTTCATCCTGCCTCCCAGCTCTGTGGCTCTCTCTTCTCTCGGCTGAAGTCATGACTCCATGGTGTCTTCTTTACATTCTCTTAAAATCGGGGGGGGGGGGGGGGGTGTTCCCCTCTGTTGGGAAAGTAAACACAACTGGCAAGAACACAGACAGGGAGGGCAGGGCTGTACAGGCCCAAAACCTTATTCTGCACTCTCTCCTTTGGAAGACGGAGGGAGTGCAGGTGGTTTTATAGGGAGCATTAAGCATTGCGAATGGGCGATTGGATTGAGCGTACTTGTGGCTCCTGGGAAAATGCTTCAGAGGGTTTGGGGAAGGATAAACCCACCTAAGTGCCACCAGCGCTCCAAGAGGATCCAAACATAAGGTGGATTCATTTTTGGTCTGCCAGATGTGCCACTAGCAGCAGCTTGATACACCACGACATCCACAGATTGCACAAATCTGCCACGTGTTTTACTTTGACTTGGGAACAACGTCATGTGTGAATCCAGCAGTTCCAACTTGCATACCACAGCTTATGGCTTAGCGCCATGTATGAACCCAGCCTCTGGGATCTATTCAACCATCGGCAATCAATCCTCGAGGAAGCCAAGAGTGCATAGGTGTTCAGTAGAAGACTCGACTTAATGATCCCAAAACGTCACAATATCATGCAAACGTCATGGATTATGTTATGAATTATGCTTATGTTATGAGCTTAGGTGGCCACCTCTCTCACATGGTGATCCCGGGCAGTTCACAACAACCCATAAAAACAACAGGATGAAAACAGAACAAATCCTTCCCACCAAAGGTGCCAGCCCACTCATGCTACTGACTTGACCTAGCCCAGGGGATGGGGGAAGAGACTGGTCTTCATGGTCTTCTGAAATACTAAAAGGGTAGGACCCCCTCAAATTTCCAGGAGGGATTTCAGACCCGCTGGTAAGCTGAAGCTGAACAAAGCACAATATGGCCTTAAAGCAAGGCAGCCAGTCAGGCTGCCCCATGGTCACGTTGTCTCAAGCAGAAGGGCCACGTCATCTAATTCACCTAAAACAGTGTTCCTCAACCTTGGCCACTTGAAGATGTGTGGACTTCAACTCCAAGAATTCCCCAGCCAGCCATGCTGGCTGGGGAATTCTTGGAGTTGAAGTCCACACATCTTCAAGTGGCCAAGGTTGAGGAACACTGACCTAAAGGACTGGAGGAGATGGGGAGAGCCAGTTTGGTCTAGTAGTCAAGGTGTTGGAGTCAGAGCAAGGAAATCTGAGCTCTAGTCCTGTCTTAAGACCTGAAAGATCCAGATTAGGGATAGATCGTCATGGAGAAAATTTATCTCTATGGTCGCTAGGAGTCGAAAATGACTCGATGGCACATAATCAATCAGTCCTGCCTTAGGCACAAAAGCAGGCTGGGTGATTTGGGGCCGGTCCCTCTCTCTCAGCCCTAGGAAGAAGGCAATGGCAACCCCCTTCCAAAAGCGTTGCCAAGAAAACTGAATTGAGTAAGATCCTCTTAGGTTGAGTGAAGAGGATGGAAAGGTGGCTACACTTGTGTGCGTCTGCTGCCCTCCTTCGGTTATAATACATCATGACTTTCTGTTTCCTGAGTAGCTGGACAGGAGGCAGACCGAAGGGAAGAGCCCTTTGACCACTTTGCAGTTGTGAGTCTGGAATGTGCAGGACCAAGTTCTTCCCAAGGCGTTTGAAATGTCTCAAGGGACTTGCATACTCACTTCCAGTAGAGGTTTGGCATTGTTGTGCACCGAAAGAATGTGGGTGATCCCATGTTTCGTCAAGTTCTCTTTGTCCTCAGCATCTGCAAAAAGACAAACGTCTCTGAGATCCAGAATGAACGAATGGAGGCCCTTGATGTGGACTTCATTCTTGTAGAAGAAATAACAACACTGTTATATGACTAGGGCCAGTTTGGCTCCAGAGAAGTTCTGATGAACTTCAGGAGATGCCTTGCAACTATTTGTGGCTATTGCTCACATAAAAAGAGAGGGACCTCCAATCTCACCTTTGCGGCTACCATCTTGACTTTTTTAATCATTTCCTGTGGACGCCCCTGCAATTCTTCTTCCATCAATGGTGCTACCTTGGTTCTTTTGAGGCCTATTTTACTAGGTTTGATCAAGGGAGGGGAGGAGCAGAATTCCATAACTCTTACTCATCATCAACTTCTCCAAGAAGAAAGCACTGAAAAAACTTACCACTGATGCTCCCGAGGTATAGGCCCTCAACCACCTAAGGAGAAACCAAGAGAGAAAATGAATGCATTATCTCCAGTGCCAGAGCAAAGAGTGACTTTCTCGAGTAATACATCATGGAAAGCAGCTGTTTTACTCCATCCTGGATTGGTTGGACCTCCCCTTACATCCAGGCCACCACCATTTTAAGAAAGTTTCAGAGAAACTGAAACAAATGTAGAGAACATCAGCGCATATGATCAGGAGCCTGAAAATTAAGCCTAATGATGGAGCAAACTGGGGCATTGCCACATCCCTTCTGTATTCACTCCACAATCCCTTTTCCCTCTCATTCCTGAGTGCAGGATATAAAAATAATAGTCTAAAGTTGCAGGAAGGCAGATTCTGGTTGAAAGTTCTGAGAAGATCTATTCAACCATGGAACCAATCCCTTTAGCATCAACGTGAGGCATGAAGGAAGGAGGAGGCAATAGAGTAACACTGCATTTGGACATCTAAAGTTGCCCCATGGTCAACACTAAGAGTCCGGATCTATTTATATTGCTTCTACGCATTAAAGGAGCAATGGTTTATCAGCCTCTTGCTCGATCAGACCACAGTGGCTCACAATGAACTAAATGAGTGTTTCTCAACCTTGGCAGCTTTAAGATTGATTTTATTTTATTTATTTATATATCGAATTTGTCACCGCCCATCTCGCTTAATGACTCTGGCTGGGGAATTCTGGGAGCTGAAGTCCACGCATCTTAAAGCTGCCAAGGTTGAGAAACACTGAACTAGGTACTAGCAGGAAGCTACAAATTAATATTATTGTTGATCGCACAATCAGTCAGATGTTTAGACTGGATTTGGCATTTTTATCCACCTATTGAGTCCTTCCCAAGGACCTGGGATAGGCAGATGTTGTTGTTGTTTATTTCTATTTTTTTATTATTATTATTTCTAATTTGCCTAGCATCTCTGGGCAAATGCATTCATTAATCACAAGATTAAACATTTCTAAAAACATTTTTTTTAAAAATGGTTGATCGCACAATCAGTCAGATGTTTAGACTGGATTTGGCATTTTTATCCACCTATTGAGTCCTTCCCAAGGACCTGGGATAGGCAGATGTTGTTGTTGTTTATTTCTATTTTTTTATTATTATTATTTCTAATTTGCCTAGCATCTCTGGGCAAATGCATTCATTAATCACAAGATTAAACATTTCTAAAAACATTTTTTTTAAAAATGGTAAAGCCATACAAACATTCATTTAATAAATAGTACCATATACGGTACTTCAGTATATAAAATCCAACAGAATTGGAAGGCCATAGCTGTTCCCACTGGTTTGCCCTCCCCTCTCCCCCCATCGCAGTTAGTACTCAGAAGTGTCGACCTCAAATGAGTCACTCATTGCATTAATCCATGGTCTGCTCAATCATGGTTTAATAACTAAACCACGAGTTGGGTTGATACATCCCTGGAATTACAAACAATCGATGGGATTGTGCAGGAAAATCAGCCTGCTGGTTGAGAAAGGTCCCCTCCCTTCTTTATTTCAACCCAGAGCAGAGAGAAATCTGAGACCACCTCTCTATCTGGGTCAGGGGGTCTAATTATACTTCAGGAAAGCTATGACTCTCCCCGTTATTTAGGGACACAAGACGTAAGCAAGCCTTCTGCTAGGCAGACAGCTGTGCAAGAAGTTAACGCTTCCTTCTTTGCTCTGCTGAATATTTGGGGGTGAAAAAAAAATTAAACAATTTCGACTTCTACCTCTTAAAGGACCTTCTCCTCCAGGCCCCAAACTTGAATCGGTTCCTGCATATTTATTCTTTCAGATATTAGACAATCGCATCGATACGTAAGGTTTGCACAGACAAAGACAGGAGGGGGAAAGGCTGAATGGCAGAAGGGGGGATACAAGCCGGCCAATGTTGCTTTCCTGTTCCTCCTCTTCTTACTTCCAGCTCTTGCCTGTTCTTTTGACTGAGCCCCTTTCTGCAACCCAGACAGCCCTCTTGTCACCCTGCACCGCCCCCCTCTTTGGGGCCCTTTCTATGAAACTCTAGGATTGTACCTTACTCATGCCGATCCCCATGACAACTTTTTGTTCTTTGGCGGGCAAGCAGCGGCAGTCCCAGTCATTCACTCCGTTTTCCCCTTGGCATCCGAGGCCCTGCGAAATGCAAAAAGATGACACCAAGCCGGAGAAAAAGCTTCCGGTTGAGACTTACCCAGCTGCTCCCTATTCTAAGGAGTGTTTGTTGGTCCAAAGGGTGTGTTTGTCAAAGGAGAAGTGAACCTGGGAAGGAGGAAGGGAGCAGAGAATCAGGCACCTTCTCCATCCACTGACCTAGACTCCCGGTGCTCTTCTGACCCAGGGCAGAACTGCTGTCAAGGGCTGTCAGCCCAATGAAGCCTTCAGAGGTCACCCAGGACACGAGGAGGGAGGCGGGAATCCTGCGCGGGTTGGACCTGGGACAAGGGGTCAGTTGATTGGGGATGCCTGCCTGTGGCATTGCTCCCTCTGCCCTCCCTCCCGGGGCCTTAAGTCACCGCAATACAGTTGTCGCTGCCAAGCAGATCGTCCAAGGGGTGGTGTTGCAATGCAGATATGGCCTTTATAAAAGGCCCGTTTGGGAGGGGGAAGAAAAGAGGACCTTGTGGCAGGGATCTTTGAGGGACCAACATTCTTGGGTGTTGGCAAGAAATTGCCTAGGTGAATTTCTTCAATCATCCCACCTCCTCTGTGACTGGTTGTAATGTGAACTGATGCTCTTCTAGTTACAGTAATGTCTTCAGTGGGAGCTTCCAATTCTAGTACACAGAGGAGGAGGAGGAGGAGGAGGAGGAAGAAGGAAAAGGGTCAATAACATTGTTTTAAATAAACTGGGAAGAGGGTTGAAACTGCCACCTTTGCATTGCTGGTCCATGTTGTAGACATTGTAAGAGGAGAACCATGCTAGTCTAAGGTAGCCCAAAATTCAGACTCTTTCTAAATTTTATCTGGCCAAAGTTTCCATTACTGACTCGGTTTTCCTCTGGAGAGCACCACTGGAGAATTACAGCAAAACCCAAATGAGACTGGAAAAGCCCCATGCCCTGGAGTGAGGGCCAGGGTCCCCAGAGCTCAGCAGAAGCCCAGCTTCTTTTCTCGGCCGCTGTCCTGGCAGACGAAGCGTCCCAGCCAACGTGCAGAGCAGCAAGAGCGGTTTTCTCGCACCTAGGCTTCCTACCAAATCCTTTATTTTCCTTTACTTTTTTGTTAGTGTTAGATGGCCACCCCACTGGCAAAAAAGGACTCTGGGTGACTTAATAGTTTGTTGGAACATAAAAACAAGGCACTAGAAAAGAAAAGGCAATAAAGATCTGGAGGAAAAAAGAGAACAACCGAGTCATAGAAATGAAATTAACCAAGGCCAACCACTCAAAAAAACACATTTTCAGGTTCTCAGAGGCAGAAGGGTCCGGACTATCTGAACCTCTCTGTCCCCCAGGTCAGGTGCCGAGCAGCTTTTTCTGTCGTCCCCAAGATGTTGGGGAGGTAGCCATCCCTGGTGGTTGGGACTGATGGGAACAGTATTCCAACCCATCCAGAAAACATCAGCTTGAGGAAGGCTCGCCCTGGTGGGAAAACCACCCTTGGGACCATCTTGAAAAGGGGGGGCCACCAATGGATACTTGGGAGGGACTAAATCTCCCAATCATTCCAGGAGTTGCATTTGAAAAGACTTGAACAAGCCAAGGTCATAACAAATACCCTGATTTTTTTAAAAAATGTGGGGAAGTATTTTATCTTCTGATGAAAGATGATGCTTGTTGATATATAGCTGTATTTATCATTAATGAATCATTGAAGGTCTTTTCACACAACTATGGGAAGGTGCTCATTAGAGTCTGTCTGTCTGTCTGTCTGTCTGTCTGTCTGTCTGTCTGTCTGTCTATCTATCTATCTATCTATCTATCATCTATCTATCTCACACTCTCCTTGACTATGACGTATTAATTGGGAAGAGATGTTTCAAGGTATGTGTTGATTTTCTTGCTCTTGTATAATTTTATGTTGTTTTTTAGGTTAATTTTTCATTATGGTTGAACAGCACCCTAATGGGGGACCTTAAGAATGAAACATCTGTTTGCAGTGCAGTAGAGGTGAACCTTCTCCTAGGCGTTCCGTCAGCACCCTATCATCTACGTACATTGTAGAAAACCAGAAAGTGATGCTACTTTCAGAGTTGCCAACAGACCTTCGTGCAAACAGTTCTCAGTATATCAAGAGAGACATGCTGGATCAGATCAATGGATATGAGTTTTCTGCAACGTCTCCAGATGGGTAAAACCCAGCTGTGACTTCATGAAAACAGCCAACGCTGGGAATCTGCACATTGTTGTAGGGCTGTCTGCCTAGAACAGTGTTTCTCAACCGTATCAACTTTAAGATGTGTGGACTTCAACTCCCAGAACTCCCCAGCCAGCCATGCTGGCTGGGGGATTCTGGGGGTTTGAGTCCACACATCTTAAAGTTGATACGGTTGAGAAACACTGGCCTAGGATTTCCCACCCTTTAGCTTTGCTGAGTTCAATTCTAAGGGGGAATTTTTCTTCAACACCATTTCCTACATCTCTTACCAGGTCCTTGAGTTTCTTCAAAGCTTAAGAAAAACACTTTTTTGCGTAGCAACTTTTCTTCAAAGGGCCCCAGGCCCCTTCAGTTTGGTCTCTGATGCAAACTGCTTGCCATATTCCATATATGGTTTGCATGAAGGAATTGTATCAATAGTTGGATTATCAATTCCATCCCCAGCAATTCAAAGTACAGAATTTGCCACTTGCACAATAGCTACTGAGTTGGCTTTGTCGAACCATTCCCATTTCCAAGATGCTTCTCCTGATCAACTCTGCCCCAACAGAACGAAATGTGTGCAATGAAGAGGGGTGTATACCAAGCTTTGGCCCACAGTGGGATACTGAACTTAAATTCCTTCCTTCAGAGTTATGGAACAAGTGTCAGAAAGACAGGAGTGCAACTGTCAAATCCTACAAGCTTATACATATTCAAATTTATTGCCTGTACCAAAATGCGTAGCTGGATGCTTTGCCTGGAATTTAGAAAAAAAACAAGAATTGCTGCAGTTCAGCAATTTTAGCAAACTGCCTATTCCTGCCTATGCAGCAGTCCAACCTCACCAGGCTGCAATTCTTCGTAATAGCACATAGAATAAATTACTAATTCTGAATACTTAGGGACGCTTCCTGTGAGCGCCCCCACGAGCCAACGTCCTGCTCATTAGCAGGACGGCTTTGCGAGGGGAACTGTGGCTGGATGCTGGATGCTGGATCTGGACCGGCAAAATTTCTCCAGGAGGAGGAGAAATTATCCACATGACTCTGGACAGCTGCTACTCATGAGTAGACAGTGGAAACTGCTATTTTGCGGCTGACGTGAGTGGAGTGGCTAGGAGTCAGGATTTTATCAAGCTCACACTCACAAAGCAGACTTTTATGGACTTTAAGCGCGGTCGAGCCTTATTTCTTAATCACTTTTTGGGATTTGGATTATTAAAAAATATTTTTGTTTACTGGAGAGATTAAGACCCTTCAGGTTTTACCATATTCAGCGGGTGAGTTTCCTCCTCTTTAGAGGATGGTGCAAATTTAATTTTAGAAGTTTTGAAAATCTTTGATTTCTTGGACTATATAGCAAAAGGGTGCTTAGTATCTGGATTTTGGAAAGTTAACAATGGATTGAGGGGCCAGGGCAATTCGGAATTATAGCTTGGAATTAATTAAAAGATATTTTCTCATGAGAACATGGCAGCTGTTGTGGCTTTTTTACAATAAGAATGTTTTGGCTGTTTTTACAATGAGACCTTGAAGGTTGGACACTAGAAGGAACTAGAGGATAAGGAAGATGGAGCAGACAAAGAATATGGAGCAGAAATCTATATTGCAAACTTCTGAATCTCTATTAAGCTTCTTAATAGAATGGATCAATTGCTTGACAAGATGGACAGAGCGTGTTGTAACGAAGTTGTAGAACAAGAACAAATTGCAATGGATGTCTATGAAATTCCTTGGAAGGGGGACTTAAATGTAACACAAATGGATCTGATGGATGACTTATTCCCTAAACGACATGTATAGATATTAAGCCAAGAAACTGATTTGGATAATTTTTTCTTATTGGATACACAAAAGAGCTCTGTTAAAGTTTGGAAGGACTTTATTACAAGTGACAAACAAAGGGATAAACTTTACTTATTGAATATACAAGAGAAACTTATTAAATATCCGAAAGATTTTTGCCTTGAAACACAGATGACTGACCTCCGGGACTCTCTTTGAAGGGGCTAAAGAATATTTTTAAAAACTCTGGGAAGGACTACAAGGTTGGTTTGTTCGATCAGGGCTAAAAGAGGAAAATAGTTAAATCTGGTTGCCCTTGCTGGACTTTTGCTGACAAAGAATGATTGACGAAGCATTTGGATTTTGTTTTTTTACTTAGGAGATGAGCTATGAGAAGAGAGATTATGTTGTATTTAGAGATGGTGACAGGCTATTAAAATTGTCTGTACTTGCTGGGATGAAGGGGGAAGTTATTTCTTTTTTTTTGCTTTTGCTTTTTTTTTTCTTTCTTTTTTCCTTTCCACAACCCTCCCTTTTTCTTTTTTGTATTCTTCTGTTTGTATTTTGTATTGGCTTTTATTCTTTCCATTTATAATTCTTAATAAAATTATTTGAAAAAAAATCATTCTGAATACTTTGGGTAATTTATCACTAGTTTATTTCTGCTGTCAGAACACAAAAATCTGAAGCACCAAGTGCTGATGAAAAATGTACCAGCCTATCAGAGAAGCTTTTACAGTCACTGGCTCAATAACCACTATCTTACTTAGCAAGCTTCTTGCCCCAGATATTTTAAAAAGATAATTCCCCACCAAATAAAGAATCACATGCCTCTTTTTCGAACTGTAATTTTTAATCTTCCTGCAAAAAAAAAATGCAAACAGGATTAAGTTTAGGAGCAATTTTGCATATTAAACTGTAAGAACAGTTCAACCTTTCCAAGTATATACGCTGTTATGGTTTAAACGAGGATTCTGTTTCACCATAGACAGAAGCAGGGAAGAAACATCGAGATGATGAAACGGTTGCAGAATTTCAAACCCAAAGAGAAGCCTTGGTTCCCGGAGGCTTTTATTTCTTCCATTCATTCTTCTCATAATCCCACTTAGAGCAAAGGCCAGTAATCGGGTCTGATTTCATATCCAGCATCCTTTTGAGCTCCATGGCCTTCCAGTCGTCCGATAAAGTGTGTGGGACTGGTTTCAGAACTGCAATTTGATAAGATCATGGTTTGTGACCACTGCAGCTCGTCAACAACAACTAACCTCTCCCAAAGTGACAGACATTGGTGCATAGTTCATGCCCTCGAAAGAGAAAGGCTGTTAACGCTAATCCAGCAGCAAACTTATGCCCCTCATATCTTCACACCAGCCTAGAGCCCCTTAGCTTGCCACTCTTTTCATTTTGGAAAGACAAACATGTGACTCCAACTATTCAGTGGTCTGCAGAATTAATACAGATGAGCTATGGATGACTGTAACGAATCATGGCTTCAATTTACTCAGGTATGTCTACCTGTAAATATATGACCTGTATGTTTGAGGGTCTTTTAGCATTTTTCTTTCTTTCTTTATAATTTTATAGATTCTTTTTGGTTTTTGTACTTAACATTCTTAAAAAAGAAAGAGAGAAGGGCTTGGAATGGGGCAGCAAGAGTCCTGTGGGGCTCAAATGTTTAGCGCTCCATCCCCTTTCCTAGCCTTGCACCTCAGAAGCCAGTCAAAATGTGAAAAGCTATTTAAGAAGGTCCGGCTCTCCTTTTTTCACAATTCAAAATTCACCCACAAGTACAAAGGTCTGTGCAGGTACAACCTTAGCATTCTGTTCCACTCAATTTTCCTGTGCGGAAGGTTAAAGAGCTCCATAAAAGTGGAGGACTTACCATACAGAACCTCCCAAATGAAAAATAAAGCACCGATGCCAATCATGAAGCCAGCTAAACCCACAGCTGTCTTCCAGTCATTTGTCGGCTTGAGCATTTCAGCAAATGTTCTGTCAAATTTGATGTGGTATACTGGAACGAGAGAGAGAGGGAGGGAGGGAGAGAGGGAAGGGACAAAATTCCTCCTTGTGAAGAAAAAAAACCTGTAGCCAGTTTTGTGTTTGACACTGACAAATGAACACGTTTATATATTTTAAATAAGCCAGGTCATTTTTGTTTGCTTCTCTGATTTCTTTTCTCCTAACTTGTCTCCCCCTAGAGTGGTACTCACAAGCAATCTTCTCGTCAGGTGTAAGGGCACTCCAAGATCCCTTCTCTTTTTCTTTCAGAGCTTTTTGCTCAGGAGTGAGGTCTTGTACAAATGGAATATCCGGCAAAGGAATAAGAGGGTAATCCTCATATATTGGCTGAGTATAATGTGGTGCTTTTGTAACTTCTGTAAGCAGGAAAAAAAAATACAAAGCCTTATTCTATAACATACCACCTGGAAACTCAGAAGGACATTAGCAAGGCACAAATATAAAAACAGAAGAACAAGCCCGACAATTTTCATGCTGCGAAAGATTTTGCAACACCAAGAAAGAAACCAGTCCTCCTTAACACAAACCATTCCTTCAGAAGAAGCCACCGTGAAAAGCCCTTGCTAATTAGATCTGGATCCATTAGGCCACTACGATAGCCAAGACAAAGGATGAAAGAGACTGGGATCAACTCAGCCGCCTATCTAACGTGAAGGTCTCTAGGTAGACAAGTGAGCCGTCCTTTTAATTTTAGAGAGCTGTTATGAAGGGAAATTGCACTCCTACAGTGAAATGGGCTGGACAAAAACAATTTTCAAGATACCAGTTAAGATGATTAAATAGCTAGCTTATTTATTTATTAAATTTATATGCCTTTACAAGCTTACCATGTCCATGAGCTCTTACACAAACAGAAGTGGACAAAGCCCGCTTGCCAATCAGGCTAAATGCCCTAGCTGCCAACATCCTAAAACAGAAAAAAGGTACAACATTATGCAGCACAAATTACTGGGAATCCTCCACCTGCAATGTTCCTCCCCGTCCCCCGCCAATGCCACTTCTTGTTTCCTCAAGGATCACAACAAGAGCTTGTGTCGCATTTAGAAATGATGCCAATTTAGACTTTGGAGTTGACGACAATAAAAGGATCTTCTAAGAAACAATATGAAGAACACAGAGGGTGGGGAAGCATTGTTTCAATCCTATAATAAGAGCCTCTGTTTAGCAGACACCCCAGCAAATATTTCTACTTAATTTGCTTTGCAGGGATATTATAACCAATCCTAACTAAGCTGACTCACAAATCAGTCAACTGAGTTTCATAAGATTTACTCTTTCACAAGCGAAGTCCATTTTAGAGTTGCTTTAAAAAGTCAACCCCAGTGAGTTCAGTTTACTTCCGATCAAGACTGTCAAAGACTTACTCATTCCCACCAAGATTCACGTCCAGGTAAAGGTGCCCAGGAGAACAGCCTTAGACTTATTCTTACTGCTTAATCAGGATTGGGGGGGGGAGGGAGGGCGTGGGTCAGACTTTTTCACTATCATCAGAGAAGGGACAGGAGCAACCTGCTTTGCTTCAGAACCAACCAACACCTTAAACAGAACAAGGGACCCCAAACAGATTCCTTGCTCTGTCTTTTATGCCTTCTTATTATTAGATTTTTATCCCGCCTTTATATTTGGTCAACTCAAGGCACAGGACACACGCAAAACTCCTGCCTCCTCTTTTCCCCACAACCACAACCCTCTGAGGTGGGCTGGGCTGAGAGAGAAGGACTGTCCCAAAGTCACCCAGCTGGCTTTCATGTCGAAGGGAAGTCATAGTCTCCTGCTTTCTAGCCTGGTGCCTTCACCACTACACCAAACTGGCTATCGCCTCCTACTCTTATTCTCTTATTCCTTCTAGTCCAGTGTTATTGTTTAAGATCCTCAATACCTGGGAACATTTGAACCTGCATCATCATCATCATCATCATCATCATCATCATCATCATCATATTTTTACCCCACTTCTTCTATGTAACTCCAGGCAGCGAACCTACCTAATCCAGTCGCCTCCTCTCTCCCCCCCCCAACCCTGGGAGGTGGGCTGGGCTTTCCAGCCCCTTCACCCCTCCACCGAACCGGCTCTCACAACCGAGCCATTCCCCGTGATGGGCCACCGGAGAATTACGCCACAGGCCGGGATCTACTCCGGCCCCTCGTCGCCCAGCTCTGCCCTGCGCCGTGTCCACTGCCAGCCCCAGGAACGGGGGGGGGCGTGGGGGGCGTCCAGCCTGATGCAGAGGCAAGCCTCGGAGCCTCTTCAGCCGGGGGCTCCCCCCAAAAGAGGACCCGTCCCGCGCACAAGCGGGCCTTACTCGCGAGGAAGCTTATAGCGCTCTCTACCGACCCGACGTGACGCCTTCCAGCTCGGGCGGCGCCCCCTCTCCCCTCCTC